TTGATTCCAAGAAGGCACATGAATTCCCTGAACCTCCACTACCATAACATACCATCAGATGTTCTGGGTCCATATTCACAGCACTTACCATACATCAAGGAGTTACTGATTTATGCTTTGTTTTCACCTGCAAACTCTGGCTTATAGCAGCTCATTTTTCTACCACATTTCTGCCCATCACAGCCAGTTTTCTCCAGAAAGAATTGTCTATATTTGATATGAATCACACCCTGGGCCTATATTCTTTATAATAGACAATGGTTCTGCCAAAATGGTAGTTTTAAAGGCTTTTAGATATAGGAAGAAATCAGTACCTCCTTCCTCTTTTACTTTTTCCTCCTAAGAAATTGGAGAGGTAATAAAGCATATGGCTGAGAAAGTTCAGCAAAAAGTCAGAGAACAGTGAGGAAAAAAAATCTTTGAAATAGCAGCAGAAAGTAAGTAGAGAAACCAAGTAAAAACATGCTGAGTAGGAGAATGCAGCTATGACACTACTGTGCCACAGGGGAACTTGTTTCCCTGAGGCTCAGAGGCTAATATTCCCAAAGAAGTTCTCTTATGTTCCAACCTCATGGCACTACATTTGTCCAAGACCTAGGTCAACATGGTTGCAATCTGGCCTAAGGTGACTGCGAAACTGGTAAAAGTAGAAGATAGATCTCATCTGAAAGCATTTAGACAGGGCAAGGAAGAGAACAGGGCAAAGCATTGTAATTCTTAAAAGTATTTCACTACCTCAAAATAGTTAGATCTTGGCACTTTACATAATTACAATTATAAACTTCATGGTGATCTGTCTTTTCTGTCATTTGTTGAATTCACTATGCATTTTAATTCACTGGCTTTTGAAGTGGAAATGAAGGGTATGGGGTAGTACAGTTTTTTCAATACTACTAGTTACAGCCATGTTAGATTAACAGATGACTGAAATAATAGAGATTTAGAATTAAAAACTCACATTCTGGCTGAATATCATGCCATTTTTAAGTACAAAATTAGACATGACAAGAAATACTTTAAAATGTATTCTAAGCATTTTCTTAAACCCTAAGTTCCCGAGAGGTTTTCCATAGACAATACCACGAGTGTGGCACACTAAGCAACTCCCTCCTTGAGCAGTTGAATAATTTTGGCAGCTGCCTCTGCTTGTCATCTTTCCCAAGGATTCCTTGGAACCAAGAGTATCTGCCAAGAGTAATCAAAATGCTGATGACAACCAGGAATTGGATTTGTTACAGATGGAGGTGTTCCAGCCCTCAAAATCTGCCAACTCCATTGTTAGAGGCGTGTGATAAATGGATTAAGTACGTCTGCCCTTGTGAGCTGAAGAAGATCCAAACAGCTTTTAAAAATGACAAGAAGCCACGCTTCTTTGGCTAAGTCTTGGGTAGTGTGTATGAGCGTACAACTGAGCCTTGAAAACAAGGAGATGTGTGCAGAGAGGCATTTTCCACGGATTTCTTCCCTTAAAGGTAGAAGTAACAGCCCTTTCATTTGATTGGCTTAGCCATGTCATCTTTGAAAACTCTTGGGAGAAATGCTGCAGTTAGTATTCCAGGAAACAGAACAAGAATTCCAAGAATATTATTCTATTAAAATATGCTTTAAAAATCAACTTGAGCTTTTTCATTTTGCTGTTATAGTTTGAGGGCCTTCCTTTCAGTTAACCCCGCTCCCTGCCATGTTGATAATGAGTCATTTAAGGGAACAACCTCTGCATTTCATTTAATGGAACAAGCTCTGAACTTTCAGCTATCTAAAGAGAGCATAATATGTCATTGAAACTTAAAATTCTTAGGGAAAACAATAGGAGTAATATGTATAGTTTTCATAATAAACAAGTATAACTCCAGTACAGTGATTCTGCAGTATCTGCAACGACTCTTGCCCAAACTTCAGACTCATATCACTCCACCTCTGTCTCCAACTTGGAAGTTTAGTAGGCACCTCCAGACAGAACTCTTGCATCCTAGCAAAACAGTTCTTACTATGAAAAAAACCTTCTTGCTATCTTGTTAAATAGTAATTTTCAACTTCCAATTGCTCAGGCCAAAACTTTACCGCCATTCTCATTTTTTTTCTTTCCCATCCCACATCCAAACCACTAGCTATAACTCAAAAAATATATATGATCCAACCATTTCTCACTATGTCCTCTACTACCACACTGGTCCAAATCACTTTTTCCCTGATCAGAAGACTCTCCTAAGAAATTCCCTCAATTTTGGCTGGGGAATTTGGCTCAGTGGCACCACACCTGCCTTGCGAACACAAGGTCCTGAGTTCAATCCCTGGTAGAAGAAAAAAAAAAAATTCTCTCACTTTTGCTTTTGTCTTCTCCCCAAATCACACAACTGTTTAGTGAGATAGTTGCTTAGTTTCTCACCCTTTCAAGATCATTCTAAGACTAAAATCAGATAAATTGCACTTCTCAAAATACCCCAATTTCCTCTCACATCACCTCTCATGCCAAAGTCCTTTAAATGGCCCACTAAACATTCTGTATGTCCTACTTTTTAAATTTAAAAATATAAATATAAGAGGCAGCATAGCAATGGTTAAGAGCATGTGGTCAGTCAGCCTGCCTGTGTCTAAGGTGTGGCTCTAATTTAATTTAATTATTAGCTACATGACATTGGGCAAGACAATCTCTTGGTGCCTAAATATCCTCATCTGTAAAATGGAATGAGTATAATACCTATGTGGTTGTTATGAGAATTAATGAATTCATTTTGCAACATACTTATTAGTGACAGCATTTAGTGAACATTGTAAACATTTAAAAATGACAAAATAGGCATTTCTTTCTGTTAGTAAAAGATTTCGTCATAAGTTTTGTGTATAAAATCATGATGCCAGTGGCTTCATCCATAAAAATTCAGAGAGATTCAAAACACCTCTTAAAGCAAAAGATGAAAAATATTTCAGTTAAACAAATTTAAATGCACCATCATTTTTTTTCCTCCAAAGAGTTCTGAAGCTAACCAAATATGGCTCTTTTTAAATGTATTTTATTAGTGCATATTAACTTTATAAAATATTAAATTTCAATGTGATATTTTCACACATGGATATAACATATTTTGATCATACTCATTCCCCTATTATTGTTTTATGCTTTTTATTTATTCTGAGTTCAGAGCTAGAATGCTTTATATACTGTGATTTATACCTTTAAATATTTTGGTACTTTTAAAGCATGCAGACACTGAGCTATTTGCTCACTTGATTATTAACTAGCAATACTCCAACTCCAAATACATGTAATTTGCTCAGTTTACCATATAGATTAGTTTTTAAGATATACTATACTTTAGTGCTCTATGTCTGGAATTTCATAACTCTGATAATTAAAATATTCTGTCTAGAATAAAACAACAAACAGAAGGTTATGACACCTTCATATTGCCAGGATGGGCACAGGGGAGTAAGTAGCCATGTGAGATTTCCAGTTGGGAGTAATAAAATAGACTTTTTAGTGGAAAAAATAGCAAGCTTCAATTTTGAACATGGCATTAAACATTATTTAAATTGTCTTTATGGGAAAGCAAGAAAAATGGCCACCATCCAGGAGTCCATCTGACTTCTTACATCAATTTTATAGGTTCCTTTTACGCCTGAGTATGCTTGAAGAGCAAAGGACATACTTAATTTTCCCTTCCTCCAAATGCAGAGCATGTACCATACCCTCAGGATCTATTTTTGGTTGATAGAGAAGAAACTGAATGATAAGTAAATGTATGCAGATTATTTGAAGTGAAAAGACCTACTATTTGCAAAAAGGTCAAACATACACAATGTGATCAAAATATTTGGTAAATATTTTTTAAATTTTTAATGTTTTACAGTAAAAGATAAACTGTCAATAATCCCCTTCAAAATACTTCCCCTCACTTTGAACATGCTATTTCTGAAGCATGCTGTTTCTATTGCCACTTTCTGAAGCAATTCTGGAAGTCCTCTTTCATGAGTATCTTTGTAAGATGTGATCAGAAAATATGGTTTAATGCTCCTTCTGAGTGCCATCCAGTGGAAATGCACACTTACAAAAACCGTTGACCACAAAATGTAAACATTTTGAATCAATTCAAGACATCAAGCTAAGACGGTGCAACTAAAGACCTGTAAGAGTGTTTTCAGAACTCCTTCAGAAAGTGGCAAAAATAATGGGATAAGTATGTTCAAAGGAAGGGAGAGTTTTATGAGGGAAATTAATTATAATTTATCTTTTATTGTAATGAACTTTAATCATTCACTGTATTTTTATCATAGTCCTTATATTTGCTTTTTTCTCTCATTGAGTTTATTGGTACATTTTAGGTATACAGTACAGTTACATTCATCATTGGGATCTTGTACCTTTACATGACAGGTCTTGGTTCTCATTTTTTCCCCTTGTCCCTGCCCTCCCTTCACCCCCTCCTCCCTTCCCCATTTACAAATACTCATATTTGAAAACAAGAGTAGTCACAGTATTTGTTCAGATGCACAAAGGAGAGTTAGGATTTGTAGGAGATTTGTGAAAGGGTCGTGATAAAAGGAAATAAAAATTCGATGTTTTTATTTTATACTTGAATTAACTTTTAAAATGTGACATAAAGTTATACAATTCTGGAAAAGTCTTCCAGTTCTACATGGAATTTGAATGCAAAGTAAACCTGTTGCTAGAGCTCTTAAAGTTCTCCGCATGTTGGATGGGCTACTGACCAGCTTCCAGGTAAAGATAAACTTCACATATTTGTCAAACAAAAATGTTTCAGTCTCGACAATTATACTGTGAGAATTCCTCTGAAAACATGAGGGGAGAAATAACACAGTTTCTCCTGTACATTAGAAACAAGGGACACCATTTAATGAACACTTACTCTTCTTAGTTAAATAACCACTCAGTTGAAACATCATTTCATGGTGTTTGTACAAAGAATGAACTCTGCTTTTCTAAGATCTCATTGTAATCTTTGTCAGATAACCCTTTTCCTCACCCTTTTCTATTTTAAAAGAAAACTGGCCCTGAAACACCATCCAGACAAGAATCCAGGTGATCCAGCTGCTGCAGAAAAGTTTAAAGATATCAACAATGCCCATAGCATACTGACTGACACATCAAAGAGAAACATATACGATAAGTACGGATCACTGGGACTCTACGTGGCCGAGCAATTTGGAGAGGAAAATGTCAATACCTACTTCATGCTGTCAAGCTGGTGGGCAAAGGTGAATCACACTGTTTTTTCTTCAAAACCAGTCTCCTAGAACATCATGGTGTTATTCACTTTTTAAGCTCCTATTTCAAAGACATACTAATCTTAGTACCTTTAATCTCTTTTAAATAAAAAGAGACATTAGTTCCATTGAGATTTGTTATTTGGGGATCATTTTTGCTTTAGCTCATCAATTAATTATAAAATCCAGCTTGACTTAAGATCCTCCTAGACATTAATTATATTTGAATTTGGAGCTTCAGGTTAATTCTGACTGGCCTCCCTTCCTCTGTTGTGACTAATTAAGAGCTGACTCATTGCTGAAAACCAAAAATAATTAATTAGTGTGACAAATGTTTAATACATCATTATAGAACAAAATTAGCCATGTACTTTACTATCTATAGCATAGACGACATCAGCAAACACAGATCTTGGGGGTGATTATGTTATGGCTCATGTGGAACCTGCTGTGAGGTAGTGGAGAAGGAAATGTGAAGGGAAAGGTGAGACAAAAGTAGTGGAAGATGGAGCTGGGAAGACAACGGGAGGAAGAGAAAATGGATCTCTGCGCAAGAAAAAGGCAAAATTTGTAAGGACTTAAGGTTATCAGAATTCACTTTTATACAGTCAATTTTGTTTAGTTTGCCAGGGATACCTAATATTATGTACGTTTAGTCATATTTGTTTATGAAATTAATGTTATGATGAAAGTCTTTACTTAAAGGCATATTGTTGATTAGCATATTTTGCAGACTGTTAACATTCACATGAGTGGTGAGATGCAATAATTTAAAAAAAACAAATCTCCAAAATGGAAGGTTTTGTGCTCGTTTCTAACTACTGTTTACTTTCATTAAATCTTGCTAAGTCAAAGAGTTTTGTATATGAAGAAAGAGAGAGACTACGTTGTGGTACATAACCATGAAACAAAAATGGCAAATTAAAGTCTCATTTGGCTCCTGCAAACTCTATCTCAGAATTCTTTAGGAATATATCTGAGAATCCCACAGAAATCTTGCTTTGTGGAACATTTAAGAAGTCAAATATTGCTAAGTGGATCTGAAACTTGGGATGAAAGTATACACACTGACAGCATCGTGTATGATGATTAGCATTCATATAACAATATGTATGGACTTTGGGGCTTTTGTGGGAACGTAATCTGCAGGCATGACATTTTTTCATGGGAAGGAACATCTACAGTTCTAGATAATTAATTATGCACGCACATATGCATGAACATTATGATCTGTCTACATGATAATAAAAATAGACTTCTTTGCCCAGGAAGTTGATGAGATTGATCTACAATCCGATACACAAGAAGCATCTACCCAGTAGTGAAGAGATATACAAACTGTTCCTGATGTGATTCTTTGAAAATAAAACTAAAAAATATATACTTTCCCTCTTTACTTGTGCCAAAGCACAATATATGGAGCCCATCAGAATGGCCTAACATTCATCCATCAGATACTCATATATATAATCTGCCCATATATAGTTTTTAAAGTACCAGATACCTATTTGTATCTTGTAGAGTGCTAAGCACTGCAAGGGATGAAGCAAGGTCATTTCACACAAAAGGCAAGCAATTCGGAAGGATTAAAGTACAAAACAGTGTGGAGCCAGGTGTGGTGGTACATGCCTATAATTCCAGCCTTTTGGGGGCTGAGAGTATCCCAAATTTGAGCTCAGCCTGGGACAATTTAGTCACTTAATGAGACTCTGTTTCAAATTAAAACAACAACAAAAATTTTTTTAAGGGCTGGAGAAGCAAATTAGTGTGACAGCCCTGGTTTCAATCTCCATCCTCCCCACCTCCTCTGTCTTTTTCTCCCTCCCTTTCTCACTCACGCCCACACACTCAATAGTGCATGAGTGAAATTGGGATTTTTCAGAGAAGAGAATATAGGAATTGCATAGTAAAATTTAAAAGGCAAAGGTGCATAAAGAAGAGTAGAAATTCTTGAGGGTAAAGACTAGGTAATATTCACAGAATGGTCAGAAAGAAGGAAGCAAGTGAAATTCATCAAACATTAAAGATTTCTGCTTAAATTACTGACAAAGTATGTGTTTGTGTTGCACACAGGTAATCTTTATCTTTTATCTCCCTGCTCGTTAATTAGATAAAATGTATAATCCATGTTCCATTTTAAGTAATGTCTTAAATAATTCACAATTGAATATGTGTCATATAATTCAGTATGTTTTATTCAATTCACAAAATGTGCTTCATGGGTTGGAGATTTAGCTCAGTGGTTCGGTGGCCTGCCTTGCAAGAGCAAGGACCCAAGTTCAATCCCCAGCACCAAAACCAAAGAAACAAACAAACAAAAAAATGGGCTAAATTGGCAGAAACAAGAAAGCCCCATGATAGAGATTATGGGAGGATACAAGAAGTCTCAAGGAGAGACTAGAGGACAGGGTGACTAACAGGAATGTGGGGGTGGCAGAAGGGGTACCATTTAGCTTTTCTTTGGTGACAGTAATTCAGTTTCAGTGACCAAGGTAGAGTGATCTTCTTATTTGACTTGTGAAAGTCTTGCTCATTACTTGGTTTGGTTTTTGTTTTGTTTTTCTCTGCTCTTAAAAAAGATTGCAATACCTTAAAAATAAAGAAGAAAATACTATATATTTCATTAATGTAGCTACAAGTCATATTTCCTATTGGGAACAACTTTATGAAGAAATTGATATTCTAGAAACTGTAGGATAGTTCTTACAGGGGTAATAATGAAGGTAGATATTCAGTATGTATATCTGTAAAGAACTCTGATATCTTCAGGACTTGGGGATGCATGGTTACACACTTGGGTTCTGGGATTGCCCAAACCTCCATAACCCCTCACCCCCATTTGCTTTGCCCTTGTTTCTTCTAGACTCTATTCATCATCATTGGCCTTTTGACTGGCTGCTATTTTTGTTGCTGCCTATGTTGCTGCTGCAACTGTTGTTGTGGCCACTGCCAGCCCAAATCATCAATGCCAGAAGATGTCTATGTATCACCAGAAGACCTTGAGGAGCAGATCAATACTGACCTGGAAAAAGATGACAGCAGAGGTAATGGGTATCCATTCATAGACTTAACTGAGGATCACATTCTGCCAAAGTGGAGAGAAATCCAACCACCAAATGGGGGAATCTCACCGACTATCAGCATTGATAGGTGTTTTGGAGATGATGAAGGGAAGAGAAAGCTGACACTGACACTATTAGAAAGAAATCACATAATATGCTGATGTGAAAGAAGTAAAATTCAGTCTCATTACAGGAGATGGGCTGTGCCTTCATGGAGGTTTGGGTGTGTTCAGGGAGGGAGACGTGAGGTAAGAATGTCTCCCAGGAAAAACATTTTAGCCTTTCCCTTTAGGATCTCAATTGAAATAGGAAATGATCATCAAAAAAAGCCATCAACCCTTGACTTTCTTCTTTGCATTACTTGATAATGATTTTGGGGCAGGAGTGAGATAGAGTGATCCTTCTTCCCTTGAAATATAGCTTATTTCTAAATATATTTGAGGCTAACCTCAAAGCAGCATCAAGAATGGGACTATTTGCTTTGCTAAGCCACCTCCTTATGTGTATGTGCATGCATGATACTACCCAGAAATGAAAAAGAAAAAAATGGAAAGAAAGATAAGATCTTGGAGAATTCGCAACACCGGTGACAGTTTATGTTCTTTGAGAAATGTTTTTGTTTAAGCAGTTTGAGGTCAAACCTACCATTGTCCTACTTTGTCCTGTGGCCACAATCCTATTGTTATTTTTTCCTGTGGAATGTATCATTGTTCTTAATTACAGACTTTATCACTAAAATTAAAAAACAGCAAACTAAAAGCAATTTCTTGATAATTCTGTCAAAACTACTGGAATCAGGTTGTTGAACTTCTCTGGAATGTACCATAGGCTGATTCTTTGGTCACAATGAAATAAGAACCAGGATATCAAGTACCAGAAACTATTCAAAAGCTTACATTGGCTTTAATTTCCTAACAAATACGATGGTCAGTAATACCCAATATTACCCATCTGCACTCCACATCAAAGAAAGGAGTATTCAGTCAGGTGGTGAATGGTAACCAAGACCTAAACTCCTTCAGAATTGGGACCTTGGAGAAGACAAAAGGAGTTTTCTTGAAATCTGTGACCTCTCACTATGGGGTGGCAACCAGAGGAGGTGTTCTGACCATTTTTTTATTATTTCTCTTGGAAACAAATTTTGTGCTCATGGTAAAATACAACTTGTACAACAATTTTCTTCTGCTTTATTTGGGATATAAAAGGGCAAATTAATCTTTTAATGAAGAAATGCAAAAGATCAAGCAAGTGGGATTACTAATAAGTGGATTAAGCAGCAATATTTGCTTTGAAACTTTTCTTTAGGGAATGGCTGGTGAATAGACCACAACTTACAAATTATCATGCCAGTAGATCGACCCCTCTTGTAAAGGGGACAAATGGTTATAAAATCATGTCAAGGGTCACTGGCTACAATGGCCGTAAGATCTCCCCCTAACTTCCATCACTCCAGCCAAGTACTCAGTTACTGAGGACAGAAGGGACAGTGAGATAGAAGAATTATCACTCATTGTCATCCACTGTTAACCTTGTCTTAACTTTTTCCTTGCAGTGGAAAAACCCAAACTAAGTGACATGAACTTAGTTATCCCAAATCCAGTGGATCAGACTTCTCTGAAAAGCCTCAAAGTCCTTCCTCATTAAATGGAATAAAAGCTCCACCAGGTCATTTTGGTAGACCTTCTTTGTGGAAGATTTCTTTTCTGGAACAGAAGTCCAGTCTAGGTGCCAGAATGCTCCTAGGATTCCTGCCTGCTGGGTGATTGATGATGGATTTGTATCCCTTTAAGTGTTTTCCATTCTAATACCCAAAGCTGCCAATTTGCTACAAAGGTGGGATTCTGAAATTCCATCTGAATATGTTATTGAAGATTCCTTAAAAAACTCCATTTTACTTCTAAATGTTTAAAAGTTCCTATTCAAGGATGATTCAGATGTTGTGGGATCTGAAATTCAATTTGAGCAGCCCTTTCTTCAGAAAAAAAAGCACAAAATACAATCCAAAAGTGAATATTTATTTAAAATGAGAAAATTACCACAACAAATTGCAATGCTTAAAAACTGACAAATGCCATACATGTCACAAAATCTAGAAAACAGCAATAATTAGCTGCTTAGCATATCTGTGTAAATACTTTTCTCTATGGCTGCATAGTCTTTGATCACCTCTTCACATAACAATAATTGTGAAATAGAATTTTCTCTTTTTTTTCTAATTTTAAATTGAATTTATTGGTGCATTCTAGGTAGACAGTACAGTTACATTCATTACTGGGATCTTGTACCTTTACATGCCAGGTCTTGGTTCTCATTTTTCCCCTTGTCCCCAACCTCCCTTCACCCCCTCCTCCCCTCCCCACCTTCAAACACTTTAATTCCATTTTTACATTTTCTCATATTTTTTTCCTTTTCCCTTATTCCCCTTTCCCTATCCTTCTCACTGTCCCTACATCTTTGGTCCTTTTCTTCCTATTTCACATTGCTAATTGTCCCATTAGGATCTTGAGTACTATTTTAGTTTTTCACACCAGAGAAACTATTTGGTATTTGCATATGTGTGGCTTATGTATTTCACTTAGGAGTATATTCTCAAAATGTACCCATTTACCTATGAATGAATCTACTTTCTCATTCTTTATACCTGAGTAGTATTCCATTTTATACAAAAACCACATCTTCTTTATCTAGTTTCCAACTGATGGGCAAATGGGCTGTTTCCAAGTTTTAGCTATTACAAACTGTGCCGCTATAAACATGGGTGCACATATATCACAGTGGTATGATTTATTTTGGAAAGATACTCAGCAGAGGGATGGCTGAGTCAAATGGAACCTCTAATCCTAGTTCTTTGAGGTATCTCCATATTGACTTCTATACTGGTTGCACCAGTCTGCATGCTCAGCAATAATGGAGAAGGGTTCCTTTCTCCCCACAGCCCCACCAACATTTGTTATTGTGTGATTTCTTGATAGCAGCCATTATTTGTGGGGTAAGGTGAAATCTCAGTGTTGTTTTCCTCTGCATCTCTCAAATGACCAGTGATGTGGAATATTGTTTCATGTATTTACTTGCTGCTTTTATTTCTTTGTCTGAGAAATGTCTGTTCATTTCAGATGCCCATTTTAGAACTGGGTCTTTATATTTGGGGGGGGCTGGTTGTTTTGAGTTCTTTATATATTTTAGATAATGGTCCTGATGGATTCACTGCTGAATTTTACAAGACATTTAGAGAAGATCTACTACCATTACTCTTCAGACTTTTCAGTTAAATTGAAGGGGAAGCAATACTTCCAAATTCATTCCTGGAAGCAAATATCACTTTCATTCCCAAACCTGGGAAAGATGTATCTAAAAAGGAGAACTACAGGCCAATCTCCTTAATGAATATAGATGCAAAAATCCTCAATAAGATACTAGCAAACAGAATACAGGTGATCATCAAGAAGATCATGCATCCTGACCAAGTTGGATTTATTCCAGGGATGCAAGGATGGTTCAACATACGTAAATCAATAAATATAATACACTATATTAACAAAGTCAAGGACAAGAACCACATGATCCTCTTAATAGATGCAGAAAAAGCAGTTGACAAAATTCAACACCCATTCATGATAAAAACTCTGCAAAGGGCCAGGGATTTAGCTCAGTGGTTCGGTGGCCTGCCTTGCAAGCGCAAGGACCCGAGTTCAATCCCTGGTACCAAAAAAACAAAACAAAACAAAACTCTGCAAAAAATTGGAGTAGGTCTATGTCTCAACTTAATAAAGGCTATCTATGAAAAACCAACAGCCAACATCATATTAAATGGCCCAAAACTGAAAACCTTCATGTTAAAATCAGGAATAAGACAAGAATGAAATAGAATTTTCTATAGGAAAATATAAAAATAATTCTGCCTTTCTTGTAATTATTTGATTCAAATTTGTTTTCTATTATTGATGAATTAGAAAGGTTTCTTTCAAGTCATTATTGATAAAGTCTAAATTTTGGGGATTGTTGTGAAATTTTGGAAAACTACCTAATTTATTTTATACACAAGAAGTAAGCTATCAAAGAATTTCCATAGGCTACTTTTGACTTTGACTATTTCAAACCTTTCTGCCTCTATAATACCCAACACTCTTGGTCAGACCCATTAAATATATGCATATTACATGACATAACCTCTGGCCTGGATCTTCATGTTCCTTTAGTAAGTGAATTGCTATAGTGAATTGTGGGAATGGTTTTTTTGGTTTTCTTTTTATGTGTGGGAGTATTTCTGAAGTCATTCCTACATCCACATGGCTAAGTATACAGTACACAGAGTTGCTATAAACCACAAAAACACTAAAATTCGAACAAAACTTATTCTCACCTCTATTTTCCCTTAACTAGATCCCCCCAAAGCCTTCTGTCATCATTTGTGAAGAACAAAGTCAGTGTGGAAAGAGACAATGTTTTCCCTGATTGAGTGATCAAAATATATTTTTCTCCCACTCTATGAAAGTGGGCAGTTGGAAGGGTCTGTGCAAAGAGGACCTCTGAAGCTTAAATTTCATCAATTATATAGTAAACCCATTTCATTATTAGAATATTTGCCTCATTTATAGCTAGTTGCATTAATTAGCTTCATATTTGTGCTCTACTAATTCAGAGGTTTGATGTAGTTAACAGGTAAACTTAATTCAATTGAGACCAATAAGGATGAAAAGCAGACTTCATCTGAAGACTATACTTTCTGGACTGTTGAGCATATGGGACCCACTTAAAGTTATTTAAGAAAATACACTTGAAAAGAGGGTGTTAGCCACTTGGATATCAAATTATTTATGATAATAATAAGCATCATACATCAAGAGGATGCAAAAAGAAAATGTAAAGGCACTAAAAATGGGAAAATTAAAAGGCAATTGATATTGTGGCTTTGATAATTTTATTTTACAAAAAGTAAACTTAAAATAGCAAAATTTTCTCACTTGGGGCATATTTAATTTTTA